TGGTTGATGATGCATGGAGGGGATTGGAACCATGGCAATGACACAATATATAATAGAATGAATGTAAATCTAATATTCTCCCATGTAAACTATCACATAATTCTCAATAAAACATTTTAAAAATTTGATTAAGATGTGCTTTTAATAATTCAATTGTGTTAATATTATATAAAGTCTAAAAATATCCAATACAATCAAAATTTGGCTTTAAAATATACAACTGGAAAATCCAGTAACATCTAATCCTACAGTGATTTTAGTGACATTTTAAAAATATTTAAATTTTTATCAGATATTTCAGTAAGTTTAATAAGTCAAAAAGTTACACTGCATAATCAACACAATTTTCCCAATTTAAAAACACTGGCAAACATTTACACACAAATACGTTAACTCTTGGAAAATCTTTTCCTTGAGTTTATCACTTATACTGAAAATTTCACGTTTTATATGTACACACCTATGATTGTTGTGTATTTATTTCACTTTAAGTACCCAGATTTCTAGAAACAAACTGTTAAAACATGCACAGACTGTTTCTAGCTAAACTTCATAAAGCAAATAATTCTAAGCAATTACAAACATATATAAATAAGATCCTACTTCTCTTACCACATTAAAATAATGCTTCATCTTGGTGCCTTTTGTAATATCCCATATAAATATGCTGCCATCATGTCCCGCAGATAACATAATTCTGGAATCAAAGGGATGTGTCTCCAAAACAAATACTTCATCAGCATGTCCCTTTATTCAGCAAAATCACACAGTTAATATTGTCAAACTTTTTTTTTAATCTCATATTTTGTCAAAGACTAAGTTACCATTAAGTCATTTTGACTTATAACAGACAGCCCCTTCTGTGTCAGAGTAGAACTGTGCTCCATAGGGTTTCAATGATAAGAATATACCAGGTGTTTGTTCCAAAGCACCACTGGGGTGGACTCAAACTAGGCAACCTTTTGGTTACAGCTGAGTACTAGGTTCATTAGGGTTTACAAACATAAATTAATAGCAATTATACATAATTTATATACAAATGTCTAGTCATTGGATCATGCAAAAAAGAAACATACTGTCTTGTTCATTTTACACACTCAAAAATTAAAATTAGCTCAAAAATGTGATATTTTCAAATTATATTAAAACTACCTACCAACAAATTATGAAGCAGTTGTCCAGTATAAGAATTCCATGCTTTGAGGACATGATCATTCACAGCTGTGACAACAATGCTATCATTCTGATTCCAGGCTATCATGGTTACTTTGGGCTTTATAAATCTTTCCTCTTCTAAAGATAAATCACTAATAAAAAAATACACAATGTGTAAATTTATTTGAATGGTAGGTTATACAATGTATATAATCTGTCAATAATACAAAAATAACTATATAAAGTCAGTTCACTGAATTTTACCAATTCTGAAGTTTTTTACATCTAACTCATAACAGATTTCTAATAAGAAAATTTGTGCAAAAGCCAGCAGGGAGGGGGATCATACGCAGTTTTGTTGTTGTTGTTGTTAAGTGCCTTTGAGTCTATTCTGACTCACAGCGACCCTGTATAAGGTTTTAGAGAAGCAGCTACAGAGTTGGAACCACTGACCGGGCGGTTCTAACCAACCTTGCAGTCCAGCACATTAACCCACAGAATCACACAGGTCAGACTGTAGGTTACTGGTACTCCTCATAAAATTAAAGTTTTCCTCCCTTCTGGAGCTCTGGTAGCAAAGTGGTTACGAATTGGGCTGCAAAATGCAAGGTCAGCAGTTCGAAACTACCAGCTGC